TAGAGGTGTCCTCAACAGGCGGATCAATGAACCAACACTGTTGCGAGGTTCAGCGCGCTCCTCCCCTTTAGCAAGTAATAGTTTTACAGGTCCTTCAAGCTACTAGCAGCAAAGGGCATTGCTACTAGGAGCAAGGACGCTACTAGTAGCTCCTGGCATTACTCCTCGTAGCAAAAGCTACTAGGAACAAAGGGCATCTCATTTGCCGAGTCACATCGTGACTATCCTCACTGGCATTGGAACGTCTGGTGGTTGTGATGCTCGTGGTTGTGGTCCTGGTAGAGCTTGTGGTTATGACCTGCGACAGTTGAATTGCCTTTCAAAGGATTGCTCAGAATGCGTGCACAGTGTTTTCCAGCAAGCGACATGCCCAATTCCCACGTGCCAGCTGTCAGACTCAAGTATTTTTGAATGCATGTTGATACACTTGTCTTATTTTGGCGACAAAAAAACATGTTCAATCTGGCCAATTGAAGTACATAGGCTATAGGTATCTTGTTGCAGATCGATCTCATTCGGTGACTAGCTCTCATTGGACGAACTGGCGCAAACTAATGACAGCTCCAACTCCAAAGTCTGCCGAGCAGTGTCTGCAACTGTAAGCAGCATCTAAGTGGCGTAACAAACAAACACCATTGCAATACCATAGTACTCAGACATCCATAGCACAATTACTACAGTACCATAAACATAATGATGCAAGAACGGTCATGTTGCACATACAGTAATTGGATTAGGAGCCTCTTGTGAAACGAGAAGAAACAGTAGCACAACAAGCACAGTATGTTCACCAGAAGCACCACCACCATTGCACCCATTGACTGTGTCAGTACCGTCCACGCCGCCCGCGATGCGGATTCGTCCCGCAGCTAGCAACTGCACATCCGAAAGCCTCGAAGATGCTTGTGGCATTCTCAGTCTGGTTCGCTGAAAACAGCGGTGTCACGGACTCTGGGAAGACAAAGGACACCTGGAAACTTGCAAAATGGGGGCTCATCACCAGCATCAGCATAAAAGCAATCTATATAGACTGAGCATGTCGAGTGCTGGCGAAAAGCATCGGATAAGTATTTTGCTGACAAAGCACCGATACTGTCGAAAAGCTCACTACTGTCAAGCCAGCGACGTCAGAACCTTGGTGGCACAGAAAGGCAGCGAAACCAGCGTGTTGACATGCTTTATGCATTCATCTGGGTCACCTGGTCGCTTCTGCGAATCCAGGCCGCATGTTTTTGGTCGATTGGTTTCTCATCATGTTCCATTTTACTCTAACTTTGAACGGTTTGACGCCCAAACAGTGCACTTCTTGCCGCCCATCCCTCTCCAGTCGCCCCGCGTGCAACCGTGCCGCTGCTGATGCCTTCAGCCACCAGTTCCGCTGCCAAGGAGGCCTCAAAGCTGTTCGAGCTGCCCAAGGAGTTGGCACTGGCCACCACGGAGGCCTTGACGTGCAAAACAAAACAAGGAGCGGGGAAGAAGAACTCCAAAGTTGGAGTTTGCAAGAGGATATGGTCTCAAATAGTCTGGTCAAGACCTTAAATCATGTCTTACGTGTCTTGTGGTTCCTGACAAGTTCCTCTCATTTTTGTCCCTTCTCATACCCTCATACAAAGGCAGTGCTGCGCAGTCTTGCGTGTCCGACCGTGTCCGACGTGTCCCGAGCCTCACTGCCCGCTGGCACCACCACTTGATATTGCCTCACATCGCAGTGTCAAAAACAGATGTCTGAGTCCGGGTATGTCTGAGTGATTGAAAACAAAACCATTGACTTGCACAGCACAAATGCAGGACTCCAGGGCTTTCGAACATTTGTCGTGCCAGCTCAAGGTACCAAACCAACCTCTGGCAGGCTAACAGGCCCTGAAAGGCTAGCGTTTCTTGTTCCTAGTAGTGAGGCCAGGAGCCCCTAGTAGCGTGATTGCTCCTAGTAGTAAGGCCAGGAGCCCCTAGTAGCGTGTTTGCTCCTACTAGTAAGGCCACAAGCCCCTAGTAGCGTCCTTGTTCCTAGTAGCGATGCCAGGAGCCCCT